CAGTGACAGAGAGAGAAGGAGGAGAGAAAATAAATGTGAGACATCTAGGAGTTAGACTTTCTAAAACCTGGAGCAGAAAACTGTGTGTCCCACGTTGGCGGTAGGGTCTCATTCACTTGTAGGGTCATCTACAGTTTCCCATGATGCATTATCAAGAAAGAGTATTGCAATCTGTTAGGCTGGGCTCAAGCAACACTCTGATGGGAACACGGGTGTCTCTAGTGGATACTTAGCCAATTTTGTCCTAGTGCCTGCTGCACACTTTTAAACAGATGAAAGACTGCAAGTGGATTCGTTAACTATGATTTGTTTCTTTATTCATCCATTGCCTTAGTTTAAAACTGTTCCTGAACACAGAACACTGTATGTGTTAGTGGTGTGTAGTTTGCTATTGGAATCTGTGTGTCGTAGAAATGGGCACAGATCAACTCACTGTCATGCACATTTCCACCTCCTTTCCATCACTCTGTGTTGGGAGGCCTGGAGGCCTCAGTTCTAGTTATTTGTGGAACATGATCTGGGTTCTAGTGAACTGAGGCAGCCCACTGAGGCACAGAGCATAATTATTCCTCCCTTTGAGTGGTGCTTTGTGCCCTGGTAACAGCCGTCCCCTGTTCCCCCCTCTTCCTCATGTCTAGTAATCATGACTCTGATTTGAGGTCAATCACTGGGTGTGAAGTCACTGTGCTACAATTCACCCGCAGTCCTGCATTCAGGTAATGCAGCTTTTTTTTTTTTGACAGGCAGAGTTAGTGAGAGAGAGAGAGAGAGAGAGAGAGAGAAAAGTCCTCCTTTTTCCGTTGTTTAACCCTCAATAGGTGCTGCGGCCAGCGAGTTGTGACTGGTGCACCGCGCTGATCTGAAGCCAGGAGCCAGGGGCTTCTCCTGGTCTCCCATGTGGGTGCAGAGCCCAAGGACTTGGGCCATCCTCCACTGCACTCCCGGGCCACAGCAAAGAGCTGCACTGGAAGAGGAGCAACCGGGAGAGCATCCGGTGCCCCGACTGGGACTAGAACCCGGGTGCCAAGCTGCAGGAGGAGGATTAGCCTATTGAGCAGTGGCGCTGGCCTCAGGTAATGCAGCTTTGATTACAATAGTTCAATCTGCAAAAAGCAAGTGTGCATAAAACAGTGAATGTATTCTTTCACATTTGGACATGGAATATTATTCAGTACTAAGAAGGAGGTCATTCTGTCATTATGAAATCGTGGGTCAGGCTGGTGCCTAATATGCTAAAAGAAATAATCCCGGTACATGTGGACACACAGTATGTGACATTAGTTATATATGCAGCCCACAAGCTTGAACTCACAGAGGTAGGAAGTATAAAGGAGATCACTGTCTACCATGACCCAAGGGTTTGTCACCTTCCAGCCCTGTGGGAAACTGGGGCAAGTTCCAGGGTCCTGGTTTCTGGCTGAGCCATCCCAGCCTATACAGCCATTCAGGAAGGAAATCTGTGGAAGGAAGATTCTCTCTCCATCTGGTTGGTCTCTTCCCTCCTTGCTATAACACTGCCTTTCAAACAAAATAAATAGATGTTAAAATAAATGAAAGATTAATTATCCAATCATTAGAAGCCTATATGCAAATGTTGAATAAACACAGACAAGTGAATCCCAAGGAAAGAAATCATTGCTTAAATGCAGTGACCTGATAAGGGAGGGTGACAGGAGCAGCACTGGAGGTTAGCATGTGGGATTGCTGCCTCCCGTGTCAGGTTCTTTAGTGCTGCATCCTAGTTTGGTTCTGGTGGCCATAGGTGAAGTTCCAAGTACTCCCTTTTGGAGACCTGGACAGAATTCTAAGCCCCTGGCTGTCACATGATCCAACTGAAGCAGTTGTAGCCCTCTGGGAATTGACCAGGAGTTAGAAGATCACTGTCAGTCTCAGTCTCTTTGTGGGTTTAGACAAATACATAAAGACAAATTTTAAAATAAAATCTACAAATTTTAAATGTATATTATATCTATAATTTTAAGAAATGATATAAAGCAAACATATAAATGCCATAAATCTCAGATCATCATGTATGCACATTTTAGAAGCACAATGAGATGTCCCATCCTTCATGTTAGAATGAGTATTACCAGACAAGCCAGAGCTGACAATTCTTGTGAAGGAAGAGAGATGACCACTCTGGTTGCACAAGGCTGGAGTCAGGTAAATTAGTAAATCCATTATGGAAAGTCATCAAAAACTGAGACATACAGTTATCACAGGATCTTCAAACAGCATTTTGGGTAGCAGGAATGTGAAATCCCAGGGAGATGTGCATGGGATTCACAGTAACTATGGCAAACACATCTGCAGTTCCATGTGCAATTAAAGCAGCGTCGTTCATGAGTGTTCACACATATAATCCAGTGAAATTTTCATGGCAGAAAGAATCAATAATGAAAAAAAAGGGCATGGAACAGAGGAGACGTTGGAGCAAGGTCAGAGTTTCAGTCCCACAGGATCCACACACTGAGGATCTACTGTACAGCATGGTGACAGCAGTGAAGTGAATATTGGGTCTACGGAATTCCAAAACAGGAGACAACTGGCCGGCGCCGCAGCTCACTAGGCTAATCCTCCACATGCAGCGCCAGCACCCTGGGTTCTAGTCCCGGTTGGGCGCCGGATTCTGTCCCGGTTGCCCCTCTTCCAGGCCAGCTCTCTGCTGTGGCCAGGGAGTGCAGTGAAGGATGGCCCAAGTCCTTGGGCCCTGCACCCACATGGGAGACCAGGAGAAGCACCTGGCTTCTGCCTTCAGATCAGCGTGGTGTGCCGGCCTCAGCGCACCAGCCGCAGTGGCCATTAGAGGGCGAACCAATGGCAAAGGAAGACCTTTCTCTCTGTCTCTCTCTCTCACTGTCCACTCTACTTGTCAAAAAAAAAAAAAAAAAAAAAAAAAAAAAAAAAAAAAAAAAAACAGGAGACAACTGACATCCTAGCATGGAAACATGTGGATTTTGTGATGAACATGTCAATAAGAATGACAACACATAATTGTACCTCATATGTATATATCAAATTAATATTTATCAAACATTTATAAAAATAAAATGGCTAAAACAGAAAATGCTGGTGTTGTGCTTCCCAATGTTTTATGGAGTTGATAAATGAAGGCAGTGCACTCAAGGCTTGGCAGCTAGAACCCAGGAGCATGGAAATGCATCAGTGTTCCCACCTTGATGATGGGGCCTCATAACAGATCCATCATCTACTGTCTTCCAGGTGCACTGTCAGTACAAGTATGGGAAAGCGTGCAAATGGGCTGTGTCCAGAATTTTGATATGCAGCCTGGGGGACTACCTCTGTATATTAAAGAAAGCCTCCAAATGGATTGATGATGCCAGTCAGCATAGACATGGAGTGAAGAGCAGGGACTCTGGACAAATGGTCTCTGGGACTGGCTCTTCCTGCAGCTGTGATCCAGCCTCAGGACACTGGTCATCATGCTGGAGCCACAGACACAGCTCCCTGTGATGTGGACTCCAGCCCCAGAGTGCACAGCCACTGTGTGTCCCACTTTCTGCTCTCCCTCAACCTCAACAGGTGCAGGAGGTCCCACGACACTGGAGCAGAACCAGATCAGCTGGCAGTGCACACCCAACACTTTCCATTCAGTTATGACCTTGACTGCTGATGTCCAGTGCATTTCCATCCTGAGTTCATGCAGGGAGCCCACAGGAGGGTCCCAGGACCTAGAGGATGAGGAAGTCCCTGTAGGCTTCCCAGGTGCCTGCAGAAGCTCAGCCTGAGACACAGCTGAGCTGCAGTACATTCCTGAGTGCTGTGACGTTCACACAGGGACCACAGACTGTTCCAGGATTAAAGGGGAAATGCAGGTCGGGTTAAAGTCTGCAGAAAGTGAGTGTGGATCACACACACGTAAAGTCAAAGGTTGGTTCAGTGCACACTTGCTGGTCGTGGCAGGAGAGGGATGAGTGGAATAGTTGCTGTTTAACAGATCAACGGCCCTGTCTCAGCTGTCCCTGGTTATACAGGGAAAACTGAAACTGTCCAAAGCTTTCAGTGCCCTGAGGGTGCTGTCCGGAGTCAGGTTGGAAGAGATTCAATAGTGTCCTCAATATTCCCACATCTCTGATCCTGGTGAGCACAGTCGCTGTCCATGTACTAAATCGTTCAATTAGGACTTCTTCCTTTTACATCAAAGTTTCTCCCCGTCATTGAAGTTGGGAGGGACAGAATCAAAAAGTATAATTCTTCCCTCAAAACTGTTACAGGGGAGCAAACCCCAATTCCTGACAGGAAACCAGGACTTCATCTCCCTCTGCACCTTTGCAGGACCAGAATCTGCGCTCAGTGCGTCTTGTGCGCCCCCTGGTGGAGCCGCGCGCCCTGCAGGAGTTTGGTGTTTTGGCTCAGTGTGAGGGCCCCTCACTGTGTTTCTTGCACAGAAATAGGTGGCCGTGTCCGAGGCTGTCAGACTGGTCATTTTCAGATCCACCGTGCTCGAGGTTTTGGAGATGGTGAATCGACCATTCACCCAGCTCGCGTAGTATGCGCTACCACTACTACTAATGTATCCGATCCATTCCAGCCCCTTCCCTGCAGCCTGGCGGACCCAGCTCACTCCATAGCTACTGAGGGAGAATCCAGAGGCTGTGCAGGTGAGTGTCAGGGTTCCTCCAGGCGTGACCAGGCCTCCCCCGGACTCCTCCAGCTGCTCCTGACACTGGACACCAGCAAACACAGACGTCCTGGTCAGGAAGCTGTCACTCACACTCTCTGTGTTTCTCACTCATGTCCTCTCCCAGACTCAGTGCCCCGCGTTCTCCATCATTACCTTTGAGCACAGTGACCAGGAGAAGCCAGCACAGCCCAGTCTCCATGGTGAGTGTCTGTGTTCAGTGTGATCACTGAGTCCTGGGGCTGGAGCTCCTGTGCCAGAGCTGCAGGGTGAGGGCTGGGCTGGTTTTCATGGGCAGAGGGAGCCCTATTTGCATGTGCTGCCCCTAGATAGCAGGCATGGGGTCAGATGCCTCAGATAGGACAGGGCCCAGGGCAGACGTGGTGTCCTAGGTTTGTAGGCTGATGTCTATGATATGATTCAGATCATATGAATGTTTATGTTATCATAATTTTAAAAGATTGAAGGCAATGACCTTGTCTCATTCTAATATGTGTGTACCCTTAATATCCAGTGCTAGCAATATCATGTCCCTCATTTATTTAAATAACCATTAGTTCTTTATCATCTATATGAAAGACATTGGTACAGTGATAGAGAGAGAAGGGGTGAGAGAGACAGAAATGTAGAGATGGACAGAAAAGGTGACAATGGGAGATTTCTGCCTTTGGGTTGACAGCCCCAGACATCCCAAATACCTATGACCCCTAGGAGTTAGTCTTTCTGAACCCTGAAGCAAGAAACTGTGTGTGTAATTCAAACATCGGTGGTAGGGGCTCCTTTGCTTGTAGCATCATCTACAGTTTCCCATGATGCATTATCAGGAAAAAGTGTGGGAAGCCGTGAGGCTGGGCTCAGTCAGTTCTCTGATGGGAACACGGGTGACCCTAGTGGGGACTTAGCCAAATTTGTCCTAATGCCTGTCGCCCACTTTTAAACAGATGAAGGACTTCAAGTGTATTTTTTTAAGGTTAACTGTGTTTTGTTTCCTTATTCATCCATTGCCTTAAAGTTTAAAAACTAATTAAACTGTTTAAAACTGTTCCTGAACACAGAACACTGTACATGGTGGTGGGGTTTGTGTGCTATTGGAATGTGCATGGTAGAAATGGGCACAGATGAACTCACTGTCATTCACATTTCCACCTCCTTTCCATCACTATGTTGGGAGGCCTGGAGACCTCAGTTCTAGTTATTTGTGGAACCTGTCATGGGTTGTGGTGAACTGAGTCAGCCCACTGTGGTGTGGGCAGAATTATTCCTGCCTTTGGTGGTGCTTTGTGTCCTGGTATCAGCCGTCCCCTGTTCCCCCCTCTTCCCTGTGTCTAGTAATAATGACTCTGAGTTGAGGCCAAGCACTGGGTAGAAGTCACTATGTCACAATTCACCCCCAGTCCTGTGTTCAGGTTGCAGCTTTGTTCCCAATAGTTCAGTTTACAAAGAACAAGTGTGCATAAAACAGTGAATGGATTCTTTCCCATTTGGACATGGAATATTATTCAGTATTAAGAAGGAGGTTGTTCTGTCATTAGGAAATGTGGGTCAACCTGGAGCATACATACTAAAAGAAATGATCCAGGTACATGTGGACACACAGTATGTGACATTAGTTATATATGCAGTCCACACGCTTGAACTCACAGAGGTAGGAAGTGCAATGGTGATCACTGTCAACCATGACCCAAGGGTTTGCCACCTTCCAGCCCTGTGGGAATCTGGAGGAAGTTCCAGGCTCCTGACGTTAGGCTGAGCCATCTCCAGTCTTAGAGACATTCATGAAGGAAACCTGTGGAAGGAAGATTCTCCCTCCATCTGTTTGTCTCTTCTTCTGTTGCTATAACACTGTCTTTAAAATAAAATAAATAGATACTTAAAATACATTGAAGATTAATTATACATATGATTAGGGGCCTATTTCCTAATGTTCAAAGATCTCAAGCAGCTGAATCCCAAGGGAAGAAATCAATTGTTTAAATGCAGTGATGATAAGGTGGTGACAGGAGCAGCACTGGAGTTAGCCAGAGGGATTCCTGCTCCTGTATCAGGATGCTTAGTGCTGCGTCCTACTTTGGTTCCAGTTTCAGATTCCTGCCTAAGCACACCTGGGTGGCTGTAGATGAGGTTCCAAGTAGTCCGACGTGGGAGACCTGGACAGAATTCCAAGCACCTGGCTGTCACCTGACTCAGCTGAATCTTTTGTAGCCATCGGGGAAGTGACGCAGGAATTAGAAGATCACTGTCAGTCTCAGTCTCTCTGTGGTTTTGGACAAATACATAAAGACAAGTTCTCAAATAAAATGATAAATTTTAAAATTTATATCATTTCTATAAATTATTAAAAGAAGATATATAAACAGACATATAAAATGCTATCAATTTGGGACCATCATATATGTCCATGTTAGAAGCACATTGAGACATCGCATCGCTCCTGTTAGAATGGCTATTATCAGACATACCAGAGCTGACATGTTTTATGGAGGTAGAGAGAGATGATAACCCTGGTACAAGTCTGTGTCAGGTTAATTAGTAAAACCATATGGAAAAGCATCAAAAACGAGAAACAATTATTACATGATCTTCAAACACCATTGGATGGTACAATGAATATGAAATCCCAGGGAGGTGTCCATGGAATCTGCAGTCAGTCGGAAACAAAAAAAAGTAGAATTATTCCCTGAAAAGTGTTAAAGGAGAGGAAACCTCAATTCCCTGACCTGAAACCAGGGCTTCATCTCCTTCTGCACCTGTGCAGGACCGGAATCTTGGTTCAGTGCATCTTGTACGCCCCCTGGTGGAGCCTCACGTCCCTGCAGGGAGGTTTGTGTCTGGGCTCAGCCTGAGGACCCTCACTGTGTCCCTTTCACAGAAATAGACTGTTCATTTGCAGAGAAACCGTGTTCTGGGCGTGTTGCTGGAAATGGTGGATCGGCTTCTCGCCCAGCTCGCGTAGTATGTGTTACCACCACTACTAATGATTCTGATATATTCCAGCTCCTTCCCTGGAGCCGGGCGGACCCAGCCCATGCTGTAGCTACTGAGGGAGAATCCAGAGACTGTGCAGGTGAGTGTCAGGGTTCCTCCAGGGTTGACCAGGCCTCCTGCGGACTCCTCCAGCTGCTCCTGACACTGGACACCAGCAAACACAGACGTCCTGGTCAGGGCACTGTCACTCACACTCTCTGTGTCTCTCACTCACGCCCTCTCCCAGACTCAGTGCCCCGCATTCTCCATCATTACCTTTGAGCACAGCGACCAGGAGAAGCCAGCGCAGCCCAGTCTCCATGGTGAGCGTCTGTGTTGAGTGCGATCACTGAGTGGACACCTGGGAGTCCTGGGGCTGGAGCTCCTGTGCCAGAGCTGCAGGGTGAGGGCTGGGCAGGTTTTCATGGGCAGAGGGAGCCCTATTTGCATGTGCTGCCCCTAGATAGCAGGCATGGGGTCAGATGCCTCAGACAGGACAGGGCCCAGGGCAGACGAGGGTGTCTGGCATCTTAAGTAGCCGATTAATGCCATGAGACCTGGAAATTGTTGTGAGATAATGGACAGAAAAGCATTTCATTCATCTTTTTAAAATTTTTATAAATATATATTTATTTATTTGGAGGTAGAGTTATAGACAGTGAGAGAGAGACACAGAAAGAAAGCTCTTCCTTCTGTTTATTCCCTCCCCAAATGGCAGCTACAGCCAGTGCTGTTCCAATCTGAAGAGATGAGCCAGGTGCTTCTTCCTGGTCTCCCATGTGGGTGCAGGGGCACAAGAACCTGGGCCATCCTCCACTGCCCTCCTGGGCCACAGCTCAGAGATGGACTGGAAGAGGAGCAACTGGGACTAGAACCTGGCACCTGTATGGGATGCCGGCACCCCAGAGAGAGGATTAGCCAAGTGAGCCCTGGCTTGGGCCCTTAATTTATATTTTGAACATTTATTTATTTATTTGAAAGTCAAAGTTACACACAGAGAGAACTAGAGGCAGAGAGAGAGAGAGAGAGAGAAAATGAGAGAGAGAGAGAGAGAGAGAGAGAGAGAGATGGAGAGAGACACAGAGTGAGAAAGTGCAATCGTCTTTCCTCTGGTTCACTTTCCAATTAGTCACAACAGCTAGACCTTAGCGACTTGGAAGCTTGGAGCCAGGAGCTTCTTCCAGATCCCCATGCGGGTACAAGGAACCAAGGACTTGGGCTGTCTTCTACTGCTTTCCCTGGCTGTAGCAGTGAGCTGGAATGGAAGTAGAGCAGCTAGAGAACCGGTGCACATGTGGGACGCCAGTACTGCAGATTTGGTCTGCAACATACTATGTCCCAGCACCGGCCCCACCTTTACGTTTTTACCCTCCGGACACAGGGCCTGAGGTGGAGAGGCTGGTTCTTGAGCCATCACTCCAACACAGGGTGTGGGCTCCCAACAAGGGCTCAGCTCACTGCACAACAGTGCCTGCCCCTGTGTTGTGTCTGCACAAGCACAGAAATGTGATATTGGCATGAGTGATACCTCCCTTGAACACGTGCACAGTTACTGAAGGAATCACAGACAGGCTGTGCTGTGTCCAGGGGCTCTAGTCTGGTAGGAGGCACCTCCACACTCTACACCTCTGTTCCTCACACAGGACTTCCTAATCCACCTAACAGCTCCAGGAGCGATGTGCGCTCTGTACCGTCATTGGTTGTGGTTGTCCAGTTTACCTAATGAATTTGTTAATGTGCTGTGAAGGGTTGAAATAGTGAGTTATTCGTGTATATGATGTTAAATTGTGACTGGGTAGGATTTATGTAAGAGCAGTCTTTGAAGATAGTGGCACATGAATGTGTTTCTTCCAAATTTGAAGTCGAATGTCATTGAAATATCTTTTTTTTAAAAAGAGCAATGCATGGCTTTTTAGGTTTTCGTGTGTGTGTTAAGAATTGAGTACACATCAAAGCACCTGTGTGCTGGATATTAACACCAATGAAATATCAGTTATGGACAAAAAAGTGCCAGTCCGTGAACTCCCACCCCAAAAGTTCACCAGTCTCATACTTTAGCTGGTGTGTGGCACATTGGGTGAAAGCCCTGGCCTGAAGCGCCGGCATCTCAAATGAGTGCCGGTCTAGTCCTGGCTGCTCCTCTTCCCATCCAGCTCTCTGCTATGGCCTGGGAAGCAGTAGAAGATGGCCCAAGTCTTTGGGCCCCTGAATCTACATGGGAGACCCCAAGAAGCTCCT